CGAATTCAATCATCAGAAAGCTGTTTGTGGCTATCTATAAGTACATTTTCTTCTCCATACTAATTAACTTGTAATACGATTTTTGCAGCTTACAGGCCTATCCCTTAGTTATTGCAGCGCACCCTTCCAAGCCTAATCAATTTGCAATAGGACTTACTGATGGTGGTGTCTATGTACTTGAGCCACTAAAGTCTGAAGGCAAGTGGTACCCCTAACCTCCGCTAGAAAACGGTGCGAGTGGTGCAGCTAGTTAGGATCAACCTCAAAGGTGATAGATTTATACACAGTGGCCTCTCCATGATATCAAATGAACAAATTCTTGTGCTTTTGTACTGTTAAACCATTCTTTTTCTTGTAGAGGAAAGGCTCCAAAATCTGTTGATATAGTTGTAGTCAGTTTCTTAGAGTTAGTTTAGAGGTAGTTTATCTTTACAATGAACAATGGGGTTTTTGGTCCGTGGTTACAGTTGAATGATTACCGATGAAGTTCAATCGAAGTCCTCCAAGGAGTCAGCAAGGTAGATTAGGAAGAGCTTCTTCTTCTTTTGTTTCCTTTCGCGTACTCAAAAACTTCATGTATGTGATTGGTTTTTACCCTTAAAAGTTACTGATTTTTCCAATATTACAATCTCTTTCATTTGGAGAAGATTAAACATGTCGATTGTGCTTCCTATGGAACTTTTATATGGTTTTCTTTACCATTTCTTGAATTGTGGGTGTCATCCTTGTGTGCACTGCCATGATAATCTTATCTACTCTGTATATAGGTTATAATGTGATCATTTGAGCGCTCAACTATATATATTTCGTGTACACCCTATGTAGTTTGGTTAATATTGAGATAATGGTGAAAATATGAACCATGAAATAAAAGCCGTAGCCCATTAAAATATTAATCAAATAGGAATTAGACATGTATAAGTGCCATGTCTCTCTTACACGTGCATTATTAATATGGTTGATAGTATTTAATGAAACGTGGTAGCTAGGAGTCCATTTTCACAAGAAAACAAGAACATATTATTTTATGCATTTTTTTATTATTTTCTTCCTTGATCCTAGTATTGAAATGAGGACCAATTAAACGAAGCATAATTCAAGTTATAATGTGCTAAAGTAGCAAAAGAAGCAAGTTCGTGGACTGTCTTATTCTCATTTTTGGGGACAAAACACGTCCTGCAAATAAGTGAGTTTCACAAGTCGCCGCTCCAACAATCTTCAAAATAAAGAAAAAGGTGGGCCAGAAAATCAAAAGAACAATTTACTAGTAATTGAATCATGGACTCTGATATTACTCGTCACATTGTTTCACATAATTCGATAAATTCAAGATAGTCAAACATTAGTAATCAGGAGTATAAGTAGTGGTTTCTATCAGACTGTAGTAACATGTACTTATCAGATTTTAATAATACAACTAATCATGATTTTATAACTAACTTTACTTATCGCCAGCATTAGTCCTTATACGCTCTTACCATTTCTCTCTCAAACCCATGTCTTCTCACAAAGAAACTCTCTCTATGCGCAAAAACTGTCACGACCCGTCCCAAGT